CATAGTGGGAAAGGGGGGTCGCCTCCCTAGTGGGCCCTTGTTGCCCAATTCCTTCTCCACCTCCTGGCCTTATTAGGCCAATTGATATTAAATTAAATATATACTCATTCTAAACATTTTCAGAGCATTATATATATAATTTAACATCCCCGGAAACATTTTCCACCTACATATAATTAATCGGTAATACCCGATAATACCCGATATTCACTGAAACCCTTCCGGTGACCCCAAACGCTTTCGGAACCTCTCAGAACTATTCCGGGTATTAATGAAACAATTACACAAATATATTCTCATTACTCTCGTACCACTAACACTTGGCAGATCATGATTACCTTAAGCTTGTGACCCCGTAGGTTCGGTAAATCATAGACATGAACAAAACCTCTTCGTTCAATGACCGATAGCGGAACCGTGGACACCCATATTGTGACGCCCCCGATTCAATCATATACTAATCATACACGCAAACATGTACGATCAAGATCAGGGACTCACATGAAGATATCACAATACAACTCTAAATATAAATAAGTCATACATGCATCATATTAAAAGCCAGGGCCTCGAGGGATTGAATATAAGTGCTCGAATATAAACAAGTCAGCGGAAGCAACAATATCTGAGTACATACATAAGTTAAATAAGGTGCCATAAAATGGCTAGCACAAACTGGGATACAGATCGAAAGAGGCGCATGCCTCCTATCTGGGATCCTCCTAAACTACTGTGACGCACGGATAATTAAGCTACGGTAATTCCTGGCTAATGATGCCATGTCATCATGATTACTGTTGTTAAACTCGCGTTGGTTTCCATCCGGTCCAAATTTAAATTTAAATTAAAGTCAAAAATAAAAGTTTTCAAATATAAACCTAAAATGTTCAAAGTGTGGAAAATAATCTCCGGTTATTTGTCACGTTGGAACCAACCTCTTTTGTATTTCCAAAGTGCCCTTGGAATTTTATTTAGTGGGCCAACAATCAATTATTTGACCTCTTCAATTTCTAAAAATAGTTGAACACTCCCAAATGCTTTGAAACTTTTTGTAACAACCGAGCATATTGCGCCGTATTTTTGTGTCAAGTTTTGTTTTAAACAAAACTCGGTTAGTAGCTCAGATATAATGCAATGTAGGTTTAAATAAATGAAAAAAGAAAATTCAAACAATTAAAAAGAAAAGAAAAACCCCCACAAACCCCATGCCTTGGCCCAACAGGTCCAGCTGGCCCACTCTAACCTCTCGCTGATGTTCCCTGTACCTCAGGCGCGTCCGACCGAGCGCCCGCTCGTGCTCGTCCCCGTCGAACCCCCCTCACCGACGATGGCCAGGAGGATAAGACCTCCACCGAGCCACCCCCTCCTAGATATTTTCTTCCCCCGCCTCCGCCCACTTCCACATGCCCCAGATCCACTTCCCCTCCTCTCCCTCGCCCGCTCCCTTCTCCTCCCGCGCGCCCTGACCGGTCCTGTGGTCGCCGGCGTGCACCACCGCGCCGAGCGCCGCCTCCACTCCCCTTCGATGTGCCCACGACCCGCGCCACCGTCGTCCACGTCGCGTGCGCTACCGGATCGCAGCCGAAGAGGAACACCACCGCCGCCTGCGTCTTCGTCCCCAATTACGGCAGTCGCGTCCTCGCCGTCGATCCGCGTCATCTCGTCCACCCCGGCCCCGTACGAGCTCGCCACCGACCTCCCCTTGGTGAGCAGCGCCGATCCCCTGCCTTCCTCCATAGTTTCCGTCGACGTAGCTGCCGCCCAAGTCCTCTTGAGGCCTCTCCCGAAGCTCTGCTTCCGGCGCGAGCGAGCGCCCCTGGTTGCGCCTCGCCTTGTCTGGCCGCTCCCTTCGACCGCCCCGCCTGCCGTCGCCCTTGCACGTCCGCGCACATCCCTGCTGCCCCGTGTAGCCGCCCGCCGCCCGCCCGGCCACGCTGC